GATCTCATCCTTCTTAGAAGGGCATATACTGGCTCAATTTGACCGGCATCACATATTGTGCATGTCGGCAAATATAAAGGAACTATTCGTAATACTCAACTTCTACTCCCTTAAGCTGATGAGATATTGCTTTTCTGCAATATTGGCCTTCCGATTTGAGCGGGTTTGACATATATACCTCCACTCTATTCGCGGTTTTTTGCATGCTCAGACTATGAGCTATCAAGACCGTTGTTGTGCGTTTTATTACATTTTAGGAAAAAATCTGACACAATAGGGATCTTCAACCCAGGCCTTGCCACAAGGTCCGGCAGGACTTAACAAGAACTAATTCCGCTAAGTAGAGCTAAGATGTTACGTTTTTCCTTTGTCACGGGTACAACACTTGTAAACGCGACTGGTACTGCGTCGATGTTTGCGCGCTTTTAGAATTAGGGCACTACTAAGAAGCGAGGAACTGTTCTAATGGTCGTTGCTATTGAATAAAAGATGCATAAAGGTGTTGCTAGACGAAACTCATGAAAAGTTACGACACTTCATTCTCATCAGTTTTCAAGGATTTAACTTGCACTCCTTATTGCGCTTCATCCCAAAGTATATCAGTTCACTGACTAGTCCCCATATAAAACGATTTTGAATAGTCTTTCAAATGCTTAAACGCGCGCAAATAATCTTGTCACTTTACTTTGATGGTACACTTTCTTTGACCTCCGCAACTTTCTTTTCTTCCCTCAAAACAAATTGCCCTCTGGAGAATGCTGAGCTCTACCCTTTTCTCGAAATGGATAATTTCTGAGATAATTAGCTATTCGCGCAAGACACTGATCCCCTTTTATTCCAGTTGTTTACCTTTATCTCTCTGAAGTAAAATATACTCCATGCCGAAGCAATGCAACCAGGAAGCATAGTGATTATCGGGAATGTAACGGCTTGAGAGAGATGCTGATTGGCAACGAAGAAGGAAGACTGAGCGATAGCCCATAGTAGTCCTGCCAAAAAGGCAGGAAAAAATATTTCTTGCGGTATAGTTGGTCGATTCTTTCTGAAAATATCAATCTGCAAAAAGATATCAATTTGGGCGAAAAGATAAGAGAAATTGAAGAAGACAGAATGAGGGTAGCGAATAACGCCTCATATTTTGTTGACTTTCAAGAACCAGTGTTTAGAAGCTTTCTGGAAAAAAACTATAGACGGTGGCAGAAAATTGCTCACTTGATGGCGGCATAGCCAATAAACAATGTTGTAGCCGTTAGGAAAATACCGAAATAATGTGAGAACACATAGGATAGGCTGTCCTGTGGGTAGTTAGGAAACAAATCCGGATTATCCATCATGTAAATCACTGGTACAAATGTCATCCCATAGAATACGCCGGCTATCAATGCCATGGCGAAACCGCTGCAATTGCGGTATAGGGTAGTGGTAAGGAGTTGGTGGAAAGTAATTGAACTTAGGATTAAAAACTTGGATTACATTATTCTGTGTTTTCCACTCAACAACGTTTTCGCTTCATTGTTGCTACTCGTGATTTCCGTCTCAAGCTCGTTAAGTGGCTCTGCCTCAGCCGATCCTCGAGTCTACCAATAATAAATAGGAGGAACAAACTTCAATGATTACAGGAGAAGATGCTTACAGTTTTTTCGACTTCAACCAAAGCGACATTGGGTTTTTCTTTGTCGCTATCTTCTTCAGCAGAATTACCCTTGACTCGTGAGAACAGAACGCCTCTAAAGTTTTTTTCAGCAATAGCCGGTTTAGAGAGTTATTTAGCCTTACCCAATGATTACCAAAACAAGTCCTCCATAATTCAAAAGGTCACTTGCTGGTGGATTTGGTTTCATGCCAAAAAGACCAAACCTAAGAAACAAACAATTAATCCTGGATTCCAATAAATCAAGCATTTACCTTCCGCCGGCCCAGCCTGTCAAGCAGTTTGTAGTATTCCAAATAAGGATACCCAAAGCCATTCCGAGTCTGGAGATAATGGGGATAGCTGTGGCGTTGCCTGAAGATATATCCCAAAATTTGAGAATGAGACCTTCCACCACAAAATTTCTAGAGATTGAATCATATTTTGTTGTTCTGTTCTGGATTATCTAAA